TTCAGCAGGGATTTGGAGAATATTCCATTTTGTTCCTCTTTGCAGCTACATATACATATTAAATCCTTTCTTCAGAGTTCTTTTTTCCATGGAAAACAACTTTGCCTCCTTAAATATTTCCCTATAAGTCATGTTTTATAGACCTCTAGAAACATTTTGCTGACTCTCTTTTGGGTCTTTCAGACCAGTCGACATTTGTCATATGATGCAGAAGCTGGGGTATACTCTTCCAGCCAAGATTTTACTAGTGCCAAGCAGATACAAAATATTACTTTCTGTGTTCATTTTACAGTTTCTTCCCATCCTTCTACATTCTAGTGTCATTTCCAAATTTAATAACTAGTCTCTATTCCAAGTTGTGAATGAAAATACCACGTAGTACCTGATGTAGGAGAGACCCTAGAGGAACCCTTCCTAAAGGGGGGACATTCAAGCTTCATAGTGAATAATTAATAACTGCTCTTGAGGACCAATTGCCAAAAAGCTTTGTATCCACATAATAACTGCTTAATACGGCAGCTACTAATTTGTCAGTCAAAAAATCTAGTAAAGTTTTTAACACTATCTCACCTAAGTCGAAAGATAAGACATCAGTTGCTTTCTGCCCCATCTGAAAAGCCTATTTCTTTATAATACAGGAAATTAGACTGTCTTGACATAATTTGTCTCTGAAAAATCCATGTTGACTGCTACTCCTATCTTCGGTTTTTAACAGGTACTTACAAACTCTTTGTCTGAAAGACACTCTGCAGATTAGCCAAACAGAACAGTGCAAAAATATTCCAAGAAAAAATGTGCTTTATCTGTTTCTTATTTTCATTAGTTATTGTCCAATTTGATATCCTGAATCAGACCAGCCTCCCACTGGGCTCAGCAGTGAATTTCATGGGAGCGCTTGCTGATAGCAAGCTACCGCTTACTACTGTACTTGAAGGAAAACATACACAGTGGTTCATATTATAACTGTGAAATTCCAGAATGAAGCAGTAGTATTTAACACCCTTTGACAGGTCTGCAGGTGCTAGTTGACCTCCACAAGTGATGTTTATGAAAATATTTAATGGGGAAGCCCTCCAATGTATGCAGATATAGACTTTCAAAGGAATACACAAGATGACCTTGATCCTACGGCAGCATTTCTTCCATCAGTAGTAACGTAACTGGAAAGATATCTTACTGTGTAAAACCAAAATTTAACAATGGGAGCATTGTAGAACTCATAGATTTTTCTTCCAACAGGGATGAGTCTGTGCCTGCTCTGAACTTCCTCTTCCTCTTTCTTTCTTGATGACTCTCCGTTCCCTCGTCCCAGCATTGCCTATAAGAAAGGACATTTTTGTGTTTCTTTCTCTGTGAAAGATGAATAGTTATTTTTTGAAATTTCAGAAGGAAACTGTTCAAAAGTTCTCTGATTTCTTGATCTTTAGAAAAAACAGATGACCATAGGTAGGTGTAAAATGCCTTGTTCTCAGATTATCTTTTATGTAAGAAGCTACTATTTAGCATCTTGTAAGTTGAAAAAGCGATGCTTTTCAGGAACTGTCAACACCAAGGTAATCCTTGACTAGCCGACAAAAAATAAGATGGAGAGAACATTTCCCATTTTTACTGTACTGATTTCTTTTCTCCTAGTGGTAGCTTCCTATTGTATACTTACACACAACAAACAGATATACAGAAAACAGAGAAGTTTTGTTACAAAGAAAAGATCATAAGGTTGACGCTGAAAGAGAACAGCAGGGGGAAAGATGAGATGATGGTTGCTGAGCTGGAAGCAATGAAGCTAGTGATGGTTTTTGTATTGATCACTGGATCCACCTTAGGCAATGATCCCACAGTGAACGTCATATGCACGTAGAGGACAGAGCAGTACAGTTCACTGCAGCATTAAGGCCTTGGATCTCAAGCTTCCTTCAGCAGTGATTGCAGCTTCTTCCATAATGAAGCTGCAGAGTGGTCATGCATTGCCCGTGGCTGACTTGATTTCACTGATACTGCTGGAATTCATGCTCCCCAAAGATCTACCCAGAGCTCCAGAAACACATACTTAAGGAGTCCTCAGTAGTAAGTGCACAGCTAACAGGCAAAAGAAGATAATATTATGTTTACTCTTAACTTTATGACCAGCTTCAGAGAGAAGCTTCAGAGCTCCAGAGAGAAGTGGCAGGACAGACTAAACCAAATACTCACTAAAATTAAGGTGTCCCTTTGTATTTCGAATACAGATTAATCTGATAAATGTTCTCTTTTAAAAAACTCTTTTGTGAGTATCAGACTCATAGTGGATTTTCTGTTACTGTGTCCTGAGCAAGTTCTTACTACTTAGTTTGTGGCAGCAGATACAGATTGTAGTACTCCTGCAGATGAAAGCAACTGCAAGAATTGAGATATAACTGCCCCGTCTAAGTATGCAGGGACTGCACCATGATGCTTTTATTTAAATGTTTCTATAATGTTTTTCTCCAAGCAGATCAAAGCACTTTAGTACTTTTATGTTAACTGAAGCGAACTTTCAACATCCCTGAAGATACCATTGTTCTCAATCACAATATAAAAAACGTGGAAAACTAAGCCACTGAGACAACCGTTAAAGGGAACAATGAGCTTCCAGACGTGCTGTCTTTCAGTGCAGAGGCCCCTCTTTTATCTCTCTCTGTGTTCTCTGATTCAATAGGATGTTCTACACACACTTCACTCATCAGCTTCAGGTGAGCTATTTGATCTGGTTCTAGTTCCCTGCAGGAATAGGAGACGATTTATGACCGCAAAGGCCAAGCAATTTCCATGTATTTAAAAGCAAGAATCACAATCTTTCTTTTTCTTCCTTTTTTTGAGCCTCATGCAGAGCCATTCATACAGGTCTTTGGTCATGGAAAATATTAAATTTTAGTAATAAACTGGTGACCATGTTTTCTTCTTTCAGTCAGTCTAGATATCTGTAACATTGCTTACATGATGCCTGCTCTCTAGTATTTCTATTGCATTTAATTTACAAATTCATTTTTTTCTCTGGTATTATTACTTTCCATGTTGTCCCTTATATTCTTGAATTTGACTATGCACAGGTGCTGTCTTTCACATTTTTACTAAAGTAGAACAAAGACTCAGGACACAAGTACGGCTGCGAAACTAGCTTGCTGATATCTTCTTATAACTGCAGCCTGCTTCAGTGAAGTTATCTGTTTCCTTTACCTTTTAATGCCTGTTCAGATTTCTGTGTTCATTACCATACATATATAAAATAATGTGTGTTAAAAAAAGAAAAAAAAAGAAAAGGATGCCTCCATTCTGATTCTCACTGAGCACATAAACCCTTTAAAGTCTGGCAAGAGTTTCACAAGAAAAAAAAAAGGAAGTGGCGGCTGAGCAGAGGAGATGGTTGAAGGGTTCTCATGAGATAAGCAGATAGTCTGCAAGAACATGAAACCTACTGAATATAATTACAGTAACAGAGACTTCACAGAACCCTGCATATCGTTACCTGAAGATTACAAAGCCAAACTCATTCCCAGATACAGATCAAGGATTGGCTACTTGGGAAAAAAGTCCATTAGGACGTGTATGCTTTGAAAAATTTCTGGCTTAAGAAGTTACTCATTTCTTTGCTTCTCTCTACCTCCTGACACTGTTTTAGGAAAAACTGCCATCTGGTGCTACAGAGTTTTCCATAGCTTTTCATGAGGCTTTGTCTCTGCTGTCCTCTTGCACTCAAGAATTTCGCAGAAGCGGTAAAAATGAATGCTGGCAGGTTTAACAAATGAGCAGCACGGTGCTTCAGTGAAGGGGATTATTTATGAGAGTTTAAATCCTTCACAATTTTATAAATTTCACATTTCTGAGACCCACAGCTCTCACGGAAATCAGTGAGTTGGGATGATTTTAGGATAATGCTCTTTCAGTACCCGGATTTATGTTTTAGCTCACGGATGCTGATTTCCTGCTTGTTATTGCTTTCTTGTTGATAAATGATGCTGTAATTTTATCATGTTATAATTATTTCTGAATTAACTATGTACCATACAATACTAATGTCTCCCTTCCCCCATGCTACAGATGGGGAATTGCTCTGAGATGGCTGGGGATTAGATTTGACCTAATGTCCCCAAACGTTAATTATATCACAGTATTAACCATCTGAAAAGCCTCTTCATCAGAAATATACCGAAATAAGGTAAGTCCCTGCATTAACAGAATAGCTGCAGTGCTGAATGTGAATAAATGTGTTTCCATTTGAAAGGAGAAGCAATAGGGTGAGAACAACTCAAGACACTGAGTGTAGGCGGCATCTCTTTTTCTAATACACAATTCTGTCCATGATTCACTATGAGTCATGCAAGGTAAGCCTGACAGCAGTGCAACATGTGAAGTACAGTACGACTGCATCATTTTAGCCTGGGGGGCTGGGATTGATGTGTGCGTTCCTTTTACATGGAGATTTTCTAATCAGAATTCTGGAGTTTTTTTCCCAGGCATTTAGCTTTATTTAATTGAGGACTGTTTACTGATAGGGAAGCAGGACACTTTTGGGCAGTGTACTTCTGAATTAAAATATGTTCCTTAGAGAGCAGCATGAAATCCTATGATACACTTATCTGTTTTATAATTGATCAACAGGAATTTGAGCCCCGATAAAACGATCATAGGCTCTTCACATTTTATCTTTAGTGAAAGGTATGTGCTACTTACAGACTTTCCTCGTATTTACACAGAACTGGTGAGGAAACTGTACACAGCTGGGTGGATATATTACACATCCCTCTGCATAGCCTTTTGTATCCTACCATACATACGGAAATGATGCCTCCATGATAATTGTTCCAGGGTTACGGTTCTTTGCCTTGAACTACCGGTAGTGAAAAATATTTAATACCTTTGAATTATAAGCATATAAAATGGGATTTTGCACACGCTCAGCAATTTTTAAAGCTGAAAACAGAGAACACATCTGAAACACTAGCTGCAGACTTAGGAGCTCAACCCTCCAGAATGCTGAACACCGTGAAAGAAATGGAGAGTGCCAAAGTGGTTGCTTAGCAGCTGCGCAAGACGTTTCCAAAGAGCCTGGAGAAATGGAGGAAATTCCTAATTATGGAGAAGGCTAGCACTGGCCTAGCGTCTTGCAAGTCCCTAAAAAGTCTCAAACCATAGTTTTTAAGAAGTTGCCTAGCTTTTATGTCGATTTCTTACACAGATGTAAGAGCGCTGTGAGTGCATTTCTCCCCAAAGGAGGTTAGTGAGAGGTGGACGCGATGGAGGAATTTCACATTCTTGGACCACTGGTGCCCACAGAAAAATGGTCTTCAAAATGATATGAAAATGCCCTCAAGCCTGTTAAAAGTATCCTCATATGCTTATATTCCCATGCGTGAAAGCAAGCACGTGCAGCATGGCATAAAATAAAAAATAAGAAATGGCTATTTAAAGTTCGTCAGAATTTTAATTTGACTGTAAAAGGAAACCGCTGTGGCAATTCTAGATAGGATGGTTCATATATTTGTCCTACTTAGCCATAATTGATATGGTACTGATGATGCTGACATACTCATGATGGAGGCCATGTGGGATGATGTATAACCAAATAGCTTTTTTAGAAAAAAGAAAAATTCCCTATCCCTGTTATGTATCCCGTGCATTTAGGCCTGGCTGTTGTACCTTGCTTCAGTTGGGTCACTCACAGGGGCAAAAGTTTGGTCTCGCCTTCTGTCCCTGTCCTGGGAGAGAGAGGTATGAGTGCTGATTTGGCAACCATGAGCTGTGTCCCTTGTGGTGGCTCTCTGTCCTCAGCTTTTTCAGGCGCTACTATTAATGGGCAGGAAGATCTCTCAGGTAACCCCACCATGGAAAATAGGTCTAAGGGTTATAGGAAAGCAGAGTTCCTCTTACAAGCAGCTTTTCTTCTTGCAGATAAAACAAAGCTTTTTGCTTTAGCACAGAAGGCCTGTAATCCTTCACCAGCACCCACTGACCTTGCACGAGCACTGATATTCAAAGTTTCCCAGCTTGAGAACTGCATTTTTCTGACTTAATATTGAGCTACTTTTACTAGAGGGAAAAGGCTAAGCATAGACAACATGAATAAAATACTGATCATCCTAAAGGCCAGCACTAATCAACGTTGCGGTTGTTGAAATGTCCTAACTCAGACTTTTAGTGCTGTCTGTGAAAGCCTAAACTTCTTAATTGACCTGGAAAATTAGAACAAAACAACAAATAAAACACCCTCTAAAAGGCTTTAACCTAAAAATCAGCCACTAAACTAATGCTCTGGTCAGGACAGTGTACAAATATAAAAGGTCCCTGACCTTTAAATTTTAGCGCCCTTCTACTCCTCGAGGACTACTACTAAGGTTTAACGACTGGCATGTCCATGCAGAAACTGTGTTAAACTGCCTGGTGCTGAGGTGGCGAGGGGAGCAGTACTTTAGCATGTTTTTGTGAATATGCTGCAAAAAACCAAATCTGTTGCCTAGCATCAAAGTGTCGAAGAAACGTGTGCCCAGCACTCTCATATACCTGTTATAATTTAAAAACAGGTGTGAGTAACAAATAGTTCACAGCGAATAAACACTATGTGTTTATATAGTATATCCCAACATTCACCAGTCCACCAAATCCTTTAAGAGGAACATGGCACAAAATAAACATATATTCACATACAGACGCAACCATGTGTGGACTTATTTTACTGTTGCTGTACTCTGTGACCACATTTTTCTGTGCAAAATAGGTATAAAAGAGAACAAAAAATCACTGTAGCGCTGTAGTTCATCCGTTCTGCACAAGCGCGGTCTGGAAGAACTGGCTCTGTTGTCCTACCATTAAGCAGTGGCAAAATCCCTCCATTAAGCAGTCACCTGCGTTTAGCAGCAGAGGAGACAGAAGATTTCAGAAGAAATCAGTCAACTGAGCTTGTCTAAATGTGATCTGTTATGTTAAGGGTACTTTTATAAAAATGCATATGAACATAATATTACAGGAGTACACAGACTTGGGTAGTATTCATTGGGAATAATTAGGAATAGAGCTAGGTGAAATTATTTGGATGAATAGATTATTGGCCAGAAATGGACTTTTGGGGTAACCAAAATGATTTTTAGTTCACCCTTTTTTTTTAAGCTTTAGGCCAAACAACCCCACACTTCAATCTAGAATATTTTTTTTAATACTTAAAATACGTCAGGCAGGACCACTGTCCCTGACACCATGACTGAAAGGGACAAGATATAACGGTCTCTGATATCTAACCACAAACATATATAGAAAGGTCTCTTTGCTATCAAGTTGTTTTCCACCGCACTGAAGGGCATTGCTGCCATTGCTCTAAAAACTGACTGAAGAAGCCATGTTACAAGTCCTGAAACTCACTACAGATTATATAGGCAAAATAATAAGTCAGTAGTAGCGGGCCAAAGATTTTGTTTCTAAAATTGCTGGACTCCATGGAAACAGTTCTCACTTTTATAAAAAAAGGCTGTATCTGAAACTTCACTGGAGTGATGCGTCAAATTTGAGGGAGTAGCTAGGCAGAGTCAATGACGGGGAAGAGCAACAGGACTGTCAGCACACTGAAAGGACAAGGAAGAGAAGGTCTAAAGCTCGTCTGGAAAAGCATATACAGTTCAGCACATCAGTTCCTTGCATGGGGAGTCAGGAGGTAAAAAGGAAACACAGTATTGTAGACAAGAAACTAGGAGCTGGGATAATTGCAGAGAGATGGAAGTGACTTCCTCCCCCCAATTTTCTACCCATTGCCAAGAAAAAGGCAGCTTGCAAAGTGCTTATTTGATTTGAATAGGCACTTCATGAGCGGATCGTAAGCCAGGGATAGTAAATCACTGTTAGTAGCTCATGGGCAGAGAACAGCCCACTGCTGCTATTCTGGCTTCTGGTCTTTCCCAACAGCCAGGTTCTTGCCTGCAAACGGGTCCTGTAGGTGGGTCTTGTGGGCTGTTCCTTCTGCTTGCCTGCATATTGGGTCCTGTAGGCAGGTCCTTCTGCCTGCCTACAGACAGGGTCCTGGGGGCAGCTCCTGCTGTTTGCCTGTGGGAAACAGTCTGTTTTTTGTTTTTTTGTTTTTTGTTTTAAATTAACCAGGAAAAAACCCTTTTATTTCCACTCCTGTGTCCTGACCTAGAAGAACTGTGAATAAGTTTTAAGCCTTTAAGCCTTGTGGTGTCTTTACACCACAATCAGAACCAAGCCAAACTGAGCTAAGCTAAGGTAGAGCTGTTAACGCTTATGATAACAGCCAGAATTAGAAAATGTCCAACGAGTCTGAGAACAGACTGGAAGCAGGTGACTTGCATAATTTTCAGAGCGTTAGCTATTTGATTCTCTCTATGGTGTAAATTAGTCATCTGAGGCTGTTACTACTACAGACAAGCCCTTCCTTGCACAGTTCTACTGAGCTATGGAAGCTCTTAGTGAGGGCTGAGTTGTCTAGCTACTTGCTAATGTCTTCAGTGGATTAAAAATTGCCTGTGTATATATGTGACAGGCATTGACTAAAAATCCATAAGGAATTTTGAAGAATGTCTTCATCATTTTTCTTGCCTACTTGCACACTAACTTGCACTCTATTAAAATGAACTGAGAGGAAAAACTGAAAGGAAATCTCTAGCTTCCATCACTCTCTGGGCCTCTGCATCCCAAGGAAGACTTAGTGAGCATATTTTCTATCAGGGTGCCTTGTCATCTGTCATGGCTAAGTGCTTTTAATTCTGAGATCTCTAGAATTTAATTCAGACAATGCAGCATTGAATTGAATCAAAATATGAGGACATTACATCAGAAAGTAATGCTTTAACATCATCATGTACTGCTGCGACATCAAGACACAATGCTGCCAACATACACAGTGTAAGTCCCACAAAGCAGAGGGGACTGTTAAGACTGGTGTCCTGTTCATATACTAAATTTAGCCAACAGATAGCCTGCAACACCCACAGAGGTGGGAACAGCAAACTGACAGCACTGACACCAGTGATTTATTGTCAGCTCTTACGGTGAGTTCCATGTCCTCCTCCTCTTTTTCTTTCACTGGTTTTTCTGATTCCTCTGGCTCCTTCTCCTGAAGATGGATCTCACTGGCTTGAGACATGTAAGGCATGTCATCTTTGTTCTTGAACTCCAAGCTGAGGATTGAAGGAGGAAGTAGAATTCCTAGAATTACCTAAAGCAATAATAATGACAACAGTAATCATCGCAGTAAACAGATTACAATCATGGTAGTTGCTTAGTATCAAACGGAACAACTCCCGAGGGGGAAGAAATATACTTGTGCATGTGAGTCTCTATGGCAATATAGTATTTGTCACTTGGGGTAATGTTTTCAGAGCCCTGTGGTGAAACAAAGCATGTAACTTCCATTAGCAGTGCTATGAGTACTATGGCTAATTGACTTTCCTGAATATTTTATCTGTTTGCTCATCAGATGCATATTGCTATCCACTAGAATACATTTATAAAATAGTACATAGGCTCAATGGCAGGTGGGACCATGGATGCATTTAGACCTTAAACCTGCAGATTTCTGCATTGTACATAACAGACAATATCAGTGTAAATGACGCACAAGAAGCATTAATTTAATATAACTTAATATGGCCAGGTAGTACAGGTCAAGGCATAAGCATGCGTGGGTCTGAGAAAAGACAAAGCCAGCAATAGCAAACACTGACCATGCAGCCCCCTTAGATTTTGCTTCAGTAACCTGGCAGCCATGTAATGTTCATATTTATGCCAGCTCCTTGTTTTCTGTATCCCCTTTCTTGTGCAGAGGGAATGCAGAAATCATTAAATTTACCTTGTGCTGATATGTGCAATGCATAATGCTTGGGGTCAAATGAATAGCATAACTAAGGACATCACAATATAAAAAGAAGTGGTCTATCTGTAACGGGCCATCGAGTTACAGCTACTGGCCTTTTTTTTTTTTTTT